ATTTATGTTGATTCATTCTATATTAAATTATTTTAATATTTATATTATTTATTCATGATTTATTGATTCGTATAATTTATTAATATCACAATATGAATATATATTTGTATTTCTCTTCTTTCTGTTGATTTAATATATGATTATTCATTATTTATTATTTATCATCAAGAGATTATAATTTACATTATATTTGATTTTTAATAATTTTAAATGATTCGTTAATCATATTAATTCTATTGTGAATATTATCTTTTAATAATGATATAAATATTTTCATAATTACATTTATACAATTGATATGATGTTAATTAATAACATTATTCATATCACTTCATTTGTTGATTAATATTGTTATTCAATTTACCATATTTAATTTGATGAATTCATTGAAATTTAACAATTCATTAAATATATTAAGAATATATTTTCTTGACGTTGATATTCTCTTCAATTAATATAAATATATAATATCAATTCATGTTGATTTCTAGTTATTTATTTTCATTATAATTAAAATTAAATCATCCATGTGATGATGATATTATCATAATTTATGTATCTTTCATTCTAAATTATGATTTGATTTATTTTCATTTCTTTAACTTGAATGATGATAATATTAAGATTTTCATTATCAATACCAATAATGTTATTTTTCATATTGATGTTTTTTGTTATTGCGTTTGAATCTTAAAAAGAAAAAATAAGAATAAAACAAGAAATGAAAATAATAAAAGAAAACCGATTAAGAAGTAAATAATACTATTTACACCTAGCATTAATAGTTTGTAACAAGACCAATGATTCTCATAATAAGCATGTTAGTAAATGAGCTAAGACATTACTCTAAGTTTAATTTAAAAAGAAAAAAGATTTTTTTCTTTGTGATTAAAAATAAAACTAATAATAAACTTTTTCTTGAAAATAACTTCTATGTTTAATCTAAATTAAACCAAATCAATTAAAGCTTTTCAATAATTCCAATAAGTTTGTCATTATCTTCAGCAGAAGTAAAACATAGTGTGTAATATTTAGGAACAATCTTATTTGTTACGTTATCCTTTTCAAAGCACTTGAACACGCATCTGTTTGAAGTTGCTTTTTTAACAGAAACAACTCCCTTTTGTAAATAACAGAGAACAAATGGAGACCCTGTAGCAGTGTTTATAACATTTAGTTGAATCTTGTTATTTTGTTTATTCTTAATCACACTAAGTGTGCTCA